GAGGAGGAAGAAGAGGAAAGGAAAGAGGAGGGAGAGAAGGGGAGGAAAGGTAAACTTTCCAAAGAATTGTATTACTTTAAAAGTCACTGGAATCAAGTGGAGGTTTCAGTTAAGCAAGTCAATGATGTAACCAAATCCCCCCAAGATGGCTGACAGGGCAGGATTTAACTCAGTGCTTCTGAGGTGTCTTTAATGTAATTCATTTCTAAAACAAAATTATGCTCTGAGGAAAGGTAGCACATGTACAAAGTAGAATTAGACATGACCAAAAGCCTTGGCTATGCCTTTTGACTGTGACCTGGAAATGTCAGTCCCCGCAGCATGAGCTGTTTAAAACTCATGGTGAGAAATCAGAACAAGTAGATATTTTGCCACATCCAATTGTGCCCTTGCAGAATTAAGCCATCGGGACAAAAAAAGAAATACAGTGGTTTTTAAAAAATGTTATGTTTCTCATAATCAGCAAAAGGTACTTCCGAAGTTCTGATTGCACAAGGCGAGATTGTAAGTGCTACACCAAATTCATTGCGTCCAATCTCTCCCAGTGAATGTAGAGACAGGCACCCATGTGATCCAACAGAACAACTTAGTGATTGGTTTACAAGCAAGCAACTAATCAAAAGCCTAATGCCTGTGATGTGAAAGAAACAAAAACAGTATACACGACCTACACGTAGTGGCCACAAGTCTTGGACTTCTTGGAAGGAGTCCAGTGTTCAAATTTTATGTTCCATTGTCTCCAGGGTTGGCTCATACATCAAGATGCCCAAGTGAGGCCATATCGGCAATGCTAGCTTACCTCCGTGCCTATTCGGAGGCATTCTAGGAAGGATACTTTGCTTCCTCAAGCATCTTCCCACATTCTCCATCTGCCAAAGGTCAAGGTGGCAATACTTCCATCTCGGGACTCCCAGGAGGATCTAATTTATGCCTGGCCGTGGCAGATAGTCCATGTTCACCAGCTATCTTTTTCTAGAAGCCAAATGCTTCCAGACTAAGATCAGGAACCAACTTGGTCTTGGAAGGAAATGCAGTGTCAAGGTAACTGAGCATGGAAAAATAAATACATTGAAAACAACTCTTGTGTCATCAAAATCTCGGAAGTTGGAACTGAGCTGAAGAGCTGCACAGTCCCCAAAGAGGGCCTGTCCTCTAAAGGTCACTTCATACGTGGCCACATTGGAAAATGGTTGAGAAAGAAGGCCCCGAGGGTGGCCGGGATGCAGCAAGGGACAGAACCAAAATTTTTTGAGCTCCCACAGTGGAGGACTGCCACCGGTAGGATTTCAGAAGTGCCACGGAATCATGGCTACTTCTTCCCATCTTCCCCCTTCTGAATGGGAATGTCCATCAAGGTTATCCTGTCATCACTGCACTACAGCTGTTGGGGTGTGAGTATGTGGGGAAAATGTGTCCGTTTTAGTCCACGCATCTCCAGATCATAAAGAGTCACATCGAATTTTGATGAAGATTCCACTGAGTACTATCGAGACTTTGAGTCATGTGCAGGGTCAGGCCAGGAGTTGGGATTACCTATTGTGGGGAGATGGGTGTGTTTTCCGTGTAGGAAGAAGGGAGCAAAGAGTAAGCAATGAAGTCAAGATCATTTCTTGTTCAGCCACAGAGCCACATGCTGCCCACATTTCATCACTTCCTTTGTAATTAGGTTGAGGCACCTGACTCGTCCTGGCCAATGGACTGGGAAAGGAAGAGATGACTCGCAGGCAAGAAAGAGCCAGTGTGACTCCTCCATCTCTCTCCTTCCCTGTCACCGACCTTGGATGCTCCATGGTCTAGACCATGCAGCTACAAGGTGCATGCCTTTACATGAGTGAGAAACAGCTCTCTGAAATTCTTTAACAAGGGCACATTCTTTCATTTTAAGAGAAGAGATAAGGTTTAGAACACAAATACACCTATAAGAGGGAATGCAGTTTGTTCTATCAGAAACGAAGTCAGATTATTTCTTGATATCAGGTTTTGTTCCTGAAAGGACAGTAGCTGTTTTTAAATGAGGAGAGAAAAAGTAGAGGAAACACCAGAGAAGAAAAACAAAAAGGAAGCTGAATGTGTTGATGGGGAATTAGGACTCATGTTGCCTGTGTAGCTGGGCTTTGGACTGGCCCCGAATGTGGGAGTGAGGGGGAAAATGTCCTAATTGGACTTTCTATAATTGGAAAGGAGAAGAGCTATCATATACACAACTGTCCTACATCTGAATCGGGCTCTTTTAAGAGGACGATCTCAAAGAGTTTTGTAAATTGGGCACTGTACTGAAGATCCCAACATTCGCCTGACTAATCCTATCGTGCTGTTTGAAATACAAAGAGGAAGCTTCTAACGTTTTGTAGAAAAAATAAAAAAGATAAACATCACTCCAAAATTAAAATAATTCAGGTGTAGGAAAGTGAAACATAGCCTCATTCAGAGAATAGTGTTTACGTTTCATCGGTCTGTAAAAACAAACCTGACAAATGTATAACTTTGGAATCACTTAGGATATGGGCAGTTATTTTAGTATTATGCATAATGAAAGTTTAGTTGTATAAAATTGGATATAGTGAAGTGTTAAGATATTTCACCAGGATTAAGCTAATCCTTCTCTAACACAAGGGAAAATAGTTGCCAATAAACTCTCTATTTTTAACAGCCACTTGAGAGAGACAAGATGAGACTTATAAAAATCCCTTTCAAGAAGTTTTCCAGTACAATAACAGTTTACACCCAACACATACATAAATACATTTCAAAAACTTTGCCTTTGCCAAGTTACAAAGTCTGACTTGTCAGACTTACATCATGTTTTTAAAAGCATGTTTGAAATGAAGCTTGTCATACATCAGACTTCAGTGAGTCTAGAAAGGACTGTCCTTTTTTGGGAAACTGAATGGCTTCGTTCCCTTTGAGTTTTTCAAAGAATGATTTTAGTAGCAAAATGCTACACGTGGAATGAGAAGCAATGCATTTTGTTGCATTTTTTTTTTTGGTAATACACTGTTTTTACTTATTTCCTGTATAAATGGGCCTCCCCCTAGCCTCTATAATGTTGGTATCAGAACACAGAGATAAATGCATGATAGAGAAAATGGTTTGAAACTGAGCCCTTCAATTTGGACTTTCTATGTTACAGTGTCGGGCCCGTGGGTCAAGAACTGGTGTGATCATCGCAGAAGAATCTGAATCTGGATTTCAAGATTTGCTCATGGGACAGAGCATTTAAATGAATGGTGGGGGTAAATGGTGATGGTGGGAAGGGCAGAGACTAGGCCACTCTGTGAGCCTGATAGCAAGGATCAATTTGGGATAAAGTTGTATTCTCTGCATGTGTGTTCTGCTGACATGTTATGTGATTTAGAAAGATGGGCTCTGGGATCAAAATGCATGGGATCACATCCCTGCCGATCAATTCAGAATGCTATGACCTGGGGGCGCCTGGGTGGCTCAGTCAGTCCATGAGTTTGAGCCCTTGGATCAGGCTCTGTGCCGACAGCTCAGAGCCTGGAGCCTGCTTCAGATTCTGTGTCTCCCTCTCTGCCCCTCCCCTCTTCACACTCTGTCTCTCTCTTTCTCTCTCAAAAATAAGTTACCATTAAAAAAATTTAGAATAGTATGATCTTGGGGTATGTGTCCAAACCTCCCTGATTTTGTTTCTTCATATTTTTTATAATCTCCTAAATATTTTCCTTATAGAACTTATCACGACTTGTGATTATGTTCTAGCTGTGAACACGCAAGTATTGCTTATCATTCCTATTGCAGCGAAAGCTGATGACGGTGAGTCCTGTCTGTGTGTAGCTTGCCATAGCTCTTGCTTTGTGTCCGCACTTTGTTGGCACTCCGTAGAAGCTGGTTAAATAAAGGAATGAGTGAATGAATGAGTGAGATTTTCTGATATATCCATCTTTGCAGTAGGATATACCTAACATCAGGGTGATCTTACTAGGTATGGCCCCGGGCTGACCAAGTGAGCTTTCTAAAATACAGTGTTTCCAGAAATTAAATTCGAACTGTTCTTTGCCTAAAACTTCGTCCTATTTGAATGGACAGTGCTAAGCTTTACTTTTGTAATTCCTTTTCCTCTGGTTCAGAAGCTGAGCAGCACCCTTCTGTCTACACATTCTCCTTATGAGTGGACTCATAGACACAATCCAATCCATCTACTATCTCTTGCTGGCTTGGAATTCCTTCTATCTTTTTAATATGGCTTTAAGTATTTTAGTTGGATTGATTAACTTTTAATTTTAAAGCTTCTCAAATTCCAGTTCCTATTACTTAAGAGGTAGAAGTAGGTGTTTCAATGTGTCTCCTGCATGCCAAAAATACTAGTGCATCTGTCTTTATTAGATCATAGAGCACTCTGTAGCGATAAATACAATACTTGAGTCTAATGGCATCAATAATGTATACAGTTGTACTAGGGCTTTACGAATGAGAATTAAAGGTAGGTTTGTTTTACAAAAAGAGAAACAATTTTATTTACAGATCATATTTCTGATAAGATAAATGACAAGTGTCTAGATATTATAACCCTACACTAGATATTATAAAAACTAAAAGAAATCTAAATTGAGACTGGTTGAAGTCTCTTAAACTAGCAACAAAGGGATGGCCTGACCCATATATTCAATTGTTTCTTCCTCTGTCATCTGCTTTCCAACATCTACCTTCTAATTCTTTTTTAGGGGGACGAGGGGGTGACACAGGGAAGAGATGGAGACAGTGGGAGAGAAAGGGAGGCCGAACTTTCCTAAAGCAGGTGCGATGAGATGAGACTGAGCCTGGTGGTCACAAGCACACAGGTCAGCTGACATGTGATGGTAGACACGTGCGGTCCCGCCGTAGAAGGTAGGCCTTAGGTGCTCACGGGGACAGTAGAGCTTGACTTCTTAGCTTCCTGCCCGGCCTCTGCTGCGGGACCACAAGGAAACCACTGGATCTCCTCCTCTGTGCTTCAAAACCCAGAGCCAGCGTGCCCTTTGCACTGATACTGTTTCCCCTGAGGGGCGTGCACACCACTCCTGGAAGTAATGCCGGGTCCATGCATAGAGTGACTGGAGCAAGCCCCTGTTCCATCTCGCTGCTCCAAAAATCCATTTAATATACTGTCTTCAGATAGAGGATGTATCAGATATTAAGCTGATAAGAACAGATATTACACTTCATCTTGAGCAAAAGACGGGGTAATGATTATCTTCCAATTCTTAATCCCAAATGCAAACACATCAACCTTAGATTACAAACTCTATGAAGTACACATGTATGAGCATGCTTCACTATCTCAAGACCTCCTCTGTCTGATAGATATTTCTGGATCATCAACTTCTTAACCTTTACTAGTAAGCATATTAGGCAAATGAGATGATAGAAACTCCCTGAATTCTGGTTTATCTTTGCAACATATTTGTAACAGATGTGGTTGCAGACCCTTTCACAATGCCTAAATTAGCCACGACGACTGTCACCCTAAGTTGTTCGGGGGTGGGTTTTTAAAACAAATCAGTTGAAATTGCAAAATGATTCTCCAGTGTTGAAGGTCTGTGGACTTAGTATGGAATTTCTCTGTATAGACAAAGATTTTCCAATTTCATTAAAAAAGAAGGTATCGGGGAGTCTTCACTTTGACAGTCTCAAAGTGCCTCTTAGAAAATGATATTTGTAAGTGTGACTTTGACCTTAGGACCTTCCTGTCTGGAGTTCTGCTTTTGTTTATAGTCAAGTAAGCTCCAAGCAGAATAACTTGTTGCTGATAACTGTATATTCTGGACAAAACATAAAGAACTAACTATGCGACGGCACTGGAAGGAAGCCCAAAGCAGGCAGATCCAGGAAGCAGGTTGATACAGGGAGAAGGGAACAGTGTGTGTGAGCTTCCTTTTCTTACAGCTTCGAGACTGTGGGCCGTCTCCAGTCTACATTCTGCTTGGGTTACAATTGAGTGGAAACCCACAGAGGTCCCGGCTGGAGGAATGAGTTTAGAGTTTTCAGCAACCAGAGCTGCTGGAAAATGAGAAGGAAAAGGAGAGAGCCAGATTTTGGTGTACAACCTTAGAGTTCGTTGTCTTGACTAATAGAGAACTCTGGCACAATGAAAATCTACGGGGAAAATGTGCTGCAGCAAAATAGAGCTACAGATTATAAATCAGTATAATTCAATCTACACACTGATGATGGTCTAATAGCTAAAATACATTGTACTTCATATGCTGAGAGAAATTCAATCCTCTTTTCTCAAAATACAAAGGATGTATATACATTAAAGACTTTAGGAACAGACTTCTGATTCTATAACTATAATTAATCCTTTTCCACCTGGTAGAGCAATATGGAGACACCATCTTTTAGGGGATGGTCTTGCCAATGTAATGACTAGTAAACTGTTGTTGCATAAGACTTTAAGAAGGAGATATTTCTGGGGTGCCTGGGTGGCTTAGTCGGTTAAGCATCTGCCTTTCGCTTAGGTCATGATCTCGCGGTTCGTCGGTTCGAGCCCCGCGTCGAGCTCTGTGCTGACTGCCAGCTCGGAGACTGGAGCCTGTTTCAGTCTGTGACTCCCTCTCTCTCTGACCCTCCCCTGCTCATGCTGTGTGTCTCTCTCTCTCTCCTAGAAATAAATAAATAAACAAACAAACAAATAAAAACATTAAAAAAAGAAGGAGATATTTCTTTAAATAATCCATGACTTTTGTCTTTGTATGTCTAATATCAACACATTGATGATTTGGGTTGAGAAACTCTATTGAATTTCTATCATGACTTCTCTCATGGGTCTTGAATTTTTCTTCCACTCACTGATTTGTCCAAAGAATTCATCAGATGGTACCCATCTCTGTGATGCTACTCTGCTTCCTAACTTGATTTAATTACACTTCTTTCAAAGCTTCTCTGTTTCTCACATCACTTGGGGATTTATGTCTCTGGTTAATATACAAGTCACCCTCCTCCATCAGGTGGCTGGCACCCACAGGGAGATTTATCCAGGTTGAGTACATAATAAATACTTAATAATTGTTAAATGAATGAATGAACAGATACATCATTAAATTTCCTACAAAAAAAAGCAGGTCATGTTAAAGAGGCTAGAAAGGAAATTGTTTCGCTGGTCAGAATTTTCTCTGCTAGATGCAGGTATCAGATTTAGCTTGAAGGCAGTCTATCGGAAGAGACTTGGAGGATTTCTTTCCTCCTTGTCTTTGGAATACCAGGCTTCTGGACTTCAGGGAAACAACAAAACTCCAAGTTTCCCATCTTGCTGAGGGAGACACAACAGGCTGAAGGCAGAGATTGGCGTTTAAGTTCTGGTTCTGCTGCTTATCCACCGAACCTTCTGCAAATGTCTGACCCTTGCGGAGGCTGTCTCCTAGGTCTGTGAAGAGAATGGATTGCTCTGGGGACTAAGAGGGACAAAAATGGAGCACTTCTAATCAAATAATACATGGGGCACAGTAATAATTATAACAGTCTTGTTGAGTTTTCCTATGGGTTAGGCTCTTACGCATATCATTTCAGAGAATGCCCACAGCTGGTAGGTACTATCTTTAAATTCACTTTACAGAAAAAAACAAAGACTTAAAGAGTGGTTCTTTGCCAGCCAGATTCCTGTAATTGGACTGCAAAGTCTGGGCCCATCACTATTTTTCCATGCCACCTCCTTACAAGGTAAGCAGGAGTCGGAAGTAGTTATCACCAACATCATCATCACAGTTTTTCAGTATCTTATTTATGAAAGAGTTGAGCGTCACTGATTTCTGGTTTAAAAGAGGACTATAATCAGCTTCACAGCATTTGGGAGACTGGGGATTGGAAATGTTTGAAGTTGTCATTAAGCAAAAGTTTGTCCAGATCTCTCAGTGATGACACAGCTTCATAAAGTTGAAAAAACCTGAATGTCCACCATACACAAATCAGAGGATTGTTTTGTTTTTCCCAAAGAACTATTGTCTAAACTGCCTGCTAGCTCCACAACCTAAGAATTTGTGTCTGTGTGTGTCATAAAGATGTTTAGAATATGCTTACATCAATCAAGATAAATGTTCCTTGGAGTTAACTATATTTAGAACATGGCTTGTTTTTAAGATCTCATCAAAAACCAAAACCAAAACAAACAAACTCACACACACACACACACACACACACCCCAAAAAAAGACTGCCCAAAAAAGTGTTAACCACATGACACCGTCAACTTGGAAACCTCAGGGGTTGAGTCAATGATGGTAATATTTGAGATAGTCAATGATGGTAATATTTAAGATCTTGGCTCCAGGATGTCTAGTTGTATCTGATAGACTGGATACCCCCATAAAGGGCTGCCCTCCCACTTCACCTCTGCTTGGTAAATGCATATAAAAAAGGATATCCTGAAAAGCTACATTTTTTAGAGACATTACCCTTCACAGGCTTTAAGGATTGCCTGGTAGAAGACAAGCTCATGCCCTTTAACTCCACCTCCATGCTCGAAGGTTGGATCCATCAATTTTCTCTTTCCATAAATATGTCTAAGCTGTCTCTTGAACTAATTTATGTTTCTGTTCTTATTTGGCAATTTACTTTCCTGGTTGAACATCCCAAACAAACAAAAACAGCATTTCTGGAAAGTCTCCCCTATCCTTATTTTATTATTATCTCTTAAAGTTTGCGTCACAGATCTAAATATTTTGTACTTCTTTATCAAATGAGCCAATGCCTTCTTAAGTTTGAACATGCCATGGTGGGAGCATTTCCTGTCATCATTAAAAGCTCAGTGAGATTGTGTTTTAGTGCTTTTCAGGTGTTAGATGTAGAAATTGAAAATATTGAGATTAGGAAGAGCCTTAGGTTTCTAAAAACAAATACTATGAGCTAAAAATCATTAAGAGCTCAAGATTATGGTACTGTTTTCAAATATAGAAGGAAGTTCTAGACTGGTTTCTAAGTGGTGGGTTTCTATTTTAATTACATTTGTGAGTACCTTCTCCTGAACCCTATTTATTAAATTTGCACTATTATTTATATACTATACAGGCTCAGGTAAGCCAGGCAGGTAAAATAATTTCCAAATTTTAATCTTGCAATTTGCATCTGACATGTTGAAAATGTGAGTAAATGAAGCAGCGTTTCATAGCTCTGGTTTCTATGTCTGCAGCATGAGTTCGCTGCACTATGGATAAGCCTTAATAGATTGTTAAGAAGAGAGTGAATAGACGTTGTTGGACTATTGCAAACAGTAGAAGGAATATCCCTAAGCTTCCTCTCTAAGGTATTTTATTTTATTTGGCTACAGAAGAATTATTTCAGACGTTGTTAGATTTAAAATGTTAACCTCCATATCTTAAGGCTAAAAACTGTAATGTATCTGGCAGTCTTGTGAGTGAAAGGGTATTTCTTCTTTTCTAAAAATGTTTATTTTGAGAGAAAGAGAGAGAGAGCAAGAGAGAAGCAGAGAGAGAGGGGGAGGGAGAGAGAATCCCAAGCAGGCTGCATACTGTCAGCACACAGCCCAATGTGGGGCTTGAATTTACAAACTGTGACATCATGAGCTGAGCTAAAGTCAAAGAGTGGGATGCTTAAACAACTGAGCCACCCAGGGGCACCCAAAAAGGGTGTTTCTTTATGTCTCCCCCGAGTCTGACTGAAATTGTGAGGAAAGCCAGACTTCCAAATGCGAAAGCCTATGAGGCAATACGATGGGTCAGGTTTTCTAAAACAGTGGCTACCCGATTTGAAATGTCCAGGAACTGGACACCTGTACCCTTAACCCCCCCCCCCAACCATTTCTTGGGTCCACCCTTTTTCCTGATTGTCTTACTCAATAACTTAGGAGCTGTACATCTTTGGCTGCTGTTGACTGGTCCAGTGACGGACCTCTGACGTTAGCTGGGCCAATTAGACTCTTTCCTTTGGGTTTTCCCAGCTGGTACCAATGAAAAGAATCCATTCTTTGCTAGTAGTAGTAGCTAAATGGTGTACAATTCACAGGTTGTTAGTGGCTGTAGTGGATAGACTTTATATAATATTATTAAGTCTAGGTGCATCATGTGGTCATATAATCCCTTACCACTGAGTGTGAGCAGGATCTGTGACTTGCTTCTAACCCATGGAATATGGTAAAGATGATGGGTTCTACTCTGGAGATTATAGTATAATATGAGTCCATCTTGGGCTGCTTGGCATGCTCGATAGAAGTTGGCTACTCGCAACGTACTGA